TGTTTTGGTTAGTTAATTTTGGGACGTGCAAGTGACACGTAATAAATAGTGATAAGTTCAACTCGAGTTGTCCGTCTTTTAATTACAGTTTGAATAGTATCGGCGAACAGCGGGTTCGCCGCACCTTTAATTTTTTATATCTCTCGCGACACGAGAGACGGTTTGTGACGACAGGTGGTGGCTGATGGTCTTTTTTGGTTGAATACGAGAAAAGAAGTGCCCGCGCTCTTTTCAATAGAATTGAGTTCAACCTCAAAGCAGTAAAACTGTTTGGAGGGGAAACTCAACGATAGTTAATTTGGCGGGACAAGTTTGGATTGTTTGGTTTAGTCTACAGGCCTAAACACAGTTAAATGGATTAAATAAATTAAATATTGCAATGTGGGCATCAAACTAAAGAGTTTTAAGAAGACTTACAGTCGAAAATATGTTTGAGGTACAATATGGGTACCAAATGAAAGGTATTTGAAAAGTCTTGATTTGGAAATATTTTCAATAGGATTGGCACCTAAGAATGATGGAATACAAGATTGCGCCGTCCTAGCCGTTGACATATGTGTACCACAAGTAAACAAAGAATAGAGCTAAAAGAAGAACGAGTTGAAACTGCCAAAACAGTTCACTTTACAGCGAAAAACGTGTTTTAACTTTGCTAAATGCGAAAATATTGCATTTTTCACAAAAATTTATTAGAGAATAGTGAGCGTTTTATTTAATGCACTCCATTGCTTTGCAATTGAGTCTGCTTCAGCAAACGTTTTAGTGGACTAAATTGCTTTGCAATTAAAGCTGCTGTCGCTATTTAACACACGGTACTTTATTTTATTAGTTTTTACGCAGTCTTCAACGCAAAAATCACTCACAGATTGCAAATTAACACAATTTAAACTGATTTTTTTTACCTGTTATTCAAATTTCTCTTTGCCGCTGATTTGTAAACAAAGGTTTATTTACAAGTTACCACTACTGCCAAAATCGACGAAACCAAAGTAGCGGTACCACTAACGGCGCCACCTTTGTTCGCTGCACCGTGATTGGCGCCTATCTAAAAGTAAAGACTGAAAATATTGAAGTTAAATGAATTTGTGGCGAATACTGCGGCAACTCGAAGCGAACAACAAGAAAGTCGCAGAATGACGTAGAATATTCGACAGCGAGAAACGTGAAGTCGATGAATACTGCGAACAGCGAGAGAATGAAAGAATGAGCGATAGACGGCAGAACGTTCTAGAGTTGCCATGAGTGCGAGCGCAGGTATATAAGGCCGCTACCACAGTACAAGTCAAGTTAGTGGCAAAATAGCAAGCTACCAGACAAATCCGCAAGCTATAAGTTCAGTTGTATAAGCAAGTTTTGTAAAGTGATTTAACTACCTTAACAAGTATTGTTAGTTGTTGTTATTGCATCAAAAAATATTGTAAACTGTTTGTTGTACAATAAAGTTAATTGTACTGTAATTTGGTCACCTTCAGAAGAAAAGTGGAATTGTTATCCCGGTTTCGAAAGGCTATTACGGTGTTCGCATGTGGCGATTTTACAGGCAACTTTTAGTTGAAATCAACAATCGC